TGTTTTTTTTTTTTTTTTTGTTTTTTTAGGCTTTTTGACTTAAATAGTTTTTAAAATTAATATAACTTCTTATTTTAGTTTCAAAAATTTAAAATTAATTGAAGTGATCTTTGAAATTGTCCATCATCAATCATTCTAATCATTATATAAGAAATCTCAGTTAAATTCAAGATATTTTTATCAAATCAACGTCTCCCTTAAACGGATGATTTCTTCCATTTAACGTAGACTTATCATTAAATGACCAAAATGATTGATAGTTAATAATCAGATACCGTTTTTATCAATTTTAAATTTTATGGATCAAAAAGATGAGTTATGACAATCTTAAATACCTTTTCGTTTAAAATGATATTTTTTTTAAAGAAAAACTAACAAAAAAGATAAAAAAAAACTTTTCTTTTAATGAAAAGCTCTTTTAAAGGTATAATAAATAGTATAAATGTGATTTTTCGTTAAAAGTGAACGTTCTTTAGTGTTTTTGTTAAAACCCTGTTTTTTGTAATATGTTGAGGGGGATTTTTAGGGTGCCGGTTGGAGTGATTTGGACTTTTAAGCCATTGTGGCACCAGATTGACACGTCGGAGAAAAAGTCCATATTTGTATCAAAGGTCATTCCGCGTTTTTATATATTAATATGTGCCCTTTGACTTTTGTAGATTTGCTAATCTTCCCCAAGTAATGAGAAACTTCCCTTCGCACCAATTTTTTTTCTCCCAAGATATTGTGTCATTGACTCATTGGTCATATTTTCCGTGAAGCCAATTTCGTTGTGAACTTCGTTGTGATATTGTATCTTATCTCTACAGTTATTCAATTGATTTTTTGCTTTGACAGCTACAGTTAGGTTGTTCATGAGTTTATTTGTGGTTCTTATCTTCCTCGTTGAAAATAATAGTATCATATAATCTATTAATTAGTTAGTATTTATGTTTGAATTTTTTATGTTTTTTATGATTTCACACTCTGAATATAATGCTTTGAAACACGACGGATACAATGAGGATTTTAAGATATTGTAAAAATCATTGATCACACTGAAAGTTACATAAGAGCACCGTTCATACAATAAGAATGGAACATTATGTTGGCCTTGTTTGAATTTTACTATAAGCGTGATTCCCATTTTGTTTCTTTACCTCACTTCTATTATGTCTTATGTCGTCATGTTTTACTTTCTTTCTTTCGTTTGTTTCTTTCCTTAACTGAATCATTTATTACATTTAACTGTGAGTTATAAGCCATTGTATTGTGTTTTCGTCGAGAATTTATCATATATAGTATACTAACGTTGTCGCATATGCATGGCTTGTTATTTTTGTAGTTTATTCTGGAGAATTATGCTATTATCTGATTTCTATCGACGTCATTGCTTGTACTTTAAACTTCTCTGTAAAGCAATAAACTTTGCAATTTCTTTACATTCCTACGTAACTAGGGAGTGGATCCAACAAACCAACGGTGGAGCTTCTTCCTATGCCAACTCTTTTAATGGTCTTTGGTTTAAGATTTGGAAAGCATCGATCCCTTTGAAAGTAAAAGTAGGAATGTAGATGCTATGTCACAACATTATCCCCACAAGATCCAATTTCCGAAAGCCTTGTATTGAGGTTGATCCTTCGTGTGTCTTATGCAACTCAAATGAGGAGACAACTGCTCATCTCTCGAAAGAATGGCACTATGCTAAATGTGCTTGGTTATCCTCTCCTATTGGTATCCACCCAAGCTTTGCATCATTATTGTCAATAAGAGATTGGGTAAAGGAGATTTCAGAGCATGCCCCAGCCCAGTTTGATGGTTTTATGATGATTTGTTTGGCAACACCGTCACCCAGAAATGGACAGCGGTGCCCTCTGGCTGCCCAAAGTGCATGGGACTTTGAGTGAAATGTTGGTGGGGGAGAGGATCATCATTTGCATGTAAGAGCTTTCAAGAGCTTTCAAGATGTCCTCTCACATTTGCAGGCAGAGGCCCTAGCTCTCCGAGAAAGTGTGGCAATGGCGGCAATAAGGGGTTTTCAACGACTTGATATTGAATGCGACTCATTTCAAATTTTATCGGCAACTATGGGCCCATAACCAAATTGGTCTAGAATTTGGCCAACTTGTAACACTTTCTCTTTCATTAACAAAATCCTATCGTTTCCTTAAAAAAATAACTATTAGCAGATTAATTAAAATAAGAAAATGGAAGAAAAAGACCAACCATTTGAATAGTGCAAGTCTTCAAGGATAAAATAAGAAGATTCCATGATTCCATCTTACAATTAAGAAGATGGAAAAAGGTCTCTTGACTCTCTGGCCTTTTCTTTTCAGCTTTAGTTTGGCTGCTTTGGAGTAAGAATATACCTTCGTCCAGATTAAGCATCTGTTGTCTTATGTTAATGGGATTTAAAATAAGACATTAAAGTGATCGGTTGTATAAAAAATAAATAAGAGATTCATCGTCATTTTTTATTTATGTCAAAATTATAGGGCAAGTTCCACCCCAACGGGCCATAATAATTCACCTTGAAAGCACAAATTAATATGAAATATCTGATGTCTAATCGATATGTTTTTATTCATAAGATTGGAAATTAGTTTATCATCTTTGTGTGGTTGAAACTTCGACTAATTGCCACAATGAATAGACCAAGTATTGCTGGCTTTTCAAGTTGCCTCGTGAATTTGTATACATGTGTTGAAGCCAGTCCAAACATCAATTCGAAAATGACCAGAAAAAAAAAAATATATATATATATATACATATATAGAGAGAGAGAGAGAGAGAGAGAGAGAGAGATAATGGTAGCAATTGTCATTAATTTTTGCTCAATTGAATCTTTGGTTCCTGAATTTTTAATTTGTGAGTATCGAATCATTGGTCTCGAACTTGTAATAATATGGAGTAATAGTTATTTTGGATAACTTTGTTTCCATCCATTTTTTGCCTCCTTAAACTCTTCACTTTGGATGAGATTTATAACGGAATTAGTCAAAAAGACGATTGTTCCAAATGATAACAAATTCAGCGACCAATACTCATAAATTTTTTGTTCAAAACCAAAGCTCCAATTGGGCAAAATTCAGATAGCAAAATTCAGGTACATTGCTCCAATTTTATCCATAAAACATTACAAGAAATATTATAGCTCGCTAACTTTCATTTGTTCCACCATTTTTTCATCTGTTTATTGCTGACCACTCTTTCAGTACAAGACAGTCTTACATACAAATTATTAATTTTTATTGAAAATTTGGTCGATGAATAAGGCACAAATGACATTAATAATTCTTGTTTTGATAGCATCCATCCTCGGGGTATTGCATGAATATATATAATATGCCAATACCAATTGAACTTGATTGAGTATCCACTGCAACAAAACTCTTATTCCTCCATCTTTTATGGAATGTTATATAATGATGAAGACGATGATTGCATCACATTAAGTTTTTTTTCCCCTTTCAGATAAGCTAGAATCTGAAATATAGAGAGGGAAAAAACACACCAATTATCAGCAATTAAACACGTTTATAGAGAATGGTTGGATTCGTGGCACCTCTTCTTTTACATAATTTTTTACACATCTTTGTAGAGCTCACTTTATAATGTATTTCAACGATATCATAAAGAAAGTTGGGGTTCCACTATAAAACTAATTGGCAATATGAGAAATAGATCAACTTACTCATAAGCTCATGTAAGGTCCCTTATCCCATCAATGTGGGATTCATTCTCAAACACATTTTCTAATGTGTGACGAATTTTCAAGCCTAATACATGAATAACACAAACAGGGTGAATTTTCAAGTCTAACACATGAACCATCAATGTGGGATTCATTCTCAAACACGTTTTCTAACATGTGGCGAATTTTCAAGTCTAACACATAAATAACACAAACATGACGAATTTTCAAGTCTAACACATAGATAACACAAATGGGGTGACGAGGAGTACGTGTGGCATTGAGCTTCACACATAGGATAACTTACTCTTATACCATGAAGAAAGTTGGGGTTCCACCATAAAATCAATCGGCAATATGGGAAGTAGCTCAACATGTTATAAGCCCTTGCAATGTTTATCCTTAATTTCTCCAATGCGGGACTCTTTTTACTTTCACATTCTCACATCTTCTAGGTTTACCAAAAATCACCCAAATCGAAACTATATGACCATTGGATTAAGGGGGATTTCTTTATAGAATCGTGTTAGTGATTTTCCTAAACTACAAATGAATGTCTTAATGTTTTTGGATTTATCTAATTTTTTTAAGAATGATTTATGAATGATGTTTTAAAAGATAGACAATTCGACTCGTTGAAATACATTACAAAGTGGATCCCACGTAAATATGTGTAAAAAATTGTTTAAAAAAATGCTGTTACGGATCCGTCCCTAGAGAATATATAATATATATGTAGAGATTTAATGAAATACCTCGCTCATGCATGGTCGCAAATCTGGACTCGTCTCTGTGCACTGAGATGCAGTATACATAACTCGAAACATTTCATGTATGTCTACGTCCCACTTTTCATCTAATAACTCGTGGAATGCTCCTTTCATCAACAATGGACGGGCCTATATATATAAGCCAAAGATCAATATTAAGTACTGACATGTAAAAACAAAGTCATCTCCGAATGGAGAAGAACTTTCATACAATGAGATGCTGCTGTGATGATATTTTAAATCAGTCACATTATTATATGCGAAGTTAAAGCTCGTAACAATGCATGAATGATTGACTTGAGATATTGATGCAAGTATGCAGCCTATAAAGGAAAATAGCTTAATTTACTGACCCATTCAATTAAAGTTTTGTCGTCCCGTGGCACAGATGTTTTGCAAAACAGCCTCAAAAGCAAGATTCCATAGGAGAAGATGTCGGATTTTAATCGAACACATGATTCCAGGTCTATATAATCGCGGAGGGAAAACCTTATAAACACCAAAATATATAACGAGTCAACGTACATGAGGAAACTATTAAGCTATTAAATATAGATTTATGCATACTTTTGGTTGGGGATTGGCTTTGATAATTGCTTAAGATGAAGCCATGTAGCTTTCCCGAAGCCAGAGATCTATTACAAGCACACAGTTGATTAAAATTAGACAAAGCATCCTCAATATATAATGTGAAAATAAATCAAATGAAAATTTGGGCTAATTAATTTTGAAATTTCACCAGCGGACATAAATCACGTTGCAGAAAAATATTGCTGATGAGTAATTCGCCGTGAACAATAGGGCCCTGAGGACATTCTTCATGCATATATCGAACCCCGCGGGCAATTTCTATTGCTATCTTCAGTCTATCTTGAAATGTCAATATCAAGTGTTTTGCTACAGAACCTGTGCCTGCAGTAACAGTAATGCAACATATATTGATTAAGTAAACAAACATGGTGAATTACGAATATAATTAGGGTGGTTAATTTTATTGACACTCTAAAATAGTCAATCACGCTTTTGAACTGCTAATAACAACTAACCGTTGACATGATTATGATGAAACTTAATTACTAATTTACCATAGAGGTTTGTTTCCAACGAGCCTCTTTTCGCAGAGGGAAATATGAGAATCATAGTATTGTCACAATTGCAGTAACCAGCGAGGCTCAATATATTCTTGTGATGCATAGACAAGGCCGCTTTCTTTTCAGCTTCAAGAACGCCCCTACTATTACCAGGAGAAGTATTAGTACAAGCAGTCGTGTTGTATCTCATCACCATTACTTGTGACCCGTAAACAGGCTCCCAGAATCCCTCATACACCGAATAGTCACTCTTCTCATCAGCAAGAATCCTTGTCCTAAACCCAAATGTCATCTCTTCAACTGTTTCCCAGCTCACCTTTAGGGGTAGCCCTAGCACCAAATCAGGCTGATCACTGAATCTTCTTGAAGAATTATTGTAGTTATGCAGAGAAGCCTCATCTAGAACCTTTTGATCACTTTCTTGATGTGCCTCCAGCGTCATGTTCCCTATTGATCTATTCAATTTTCTTCTCCTACTCCTCCTGCAATGTTGCTCACGATCCCTTCCAGAGCTTATCGTCGGTTCATGTAAGAAGGTAAATACAAAAATGGATTCCTGATCAACACTCGGTACATGAGACGCATTGCGTTGCAGTGGACCAGTTTCTATAAGTTGGAAATGATCACTGGGGTACTGTTCAATAATCAGAAATTAAATCATTTACTTTTTTCGTATAAATCGAGCTAGATTTTTAGTTATTGCCACCTAAAACCAAGAAAGACGTGGTTAACTATTCCTTGGTAGGACCGACGGCTGCAGGAATATTGTCTTATAGCTTCTTTGATTACTGAGTGTTCCGGCCGTTTGCTTTTAAGTTTTAAATTTGATCACCAATATTGTGAAGTCGACTGAGTAGTATTTGGTTATCCTTGTCAAAACTTGTAATCACATATTAATCACATAAGCTCTTTAGATCAATTTTCATTAGATTAGACTTTAGGGGTGCGTTTGTTACACTGGACTGTCTCGGACTGAACTAGCTTTAGGAACTAAGTTGGATTGGCTTAGACTAGACTAAGTTGGACTAGTTTAGTGAAGCGTTTGGTGTAGTGTCGGACTAAGAAGCAGGATAATAAAAAATAAAAAAAAAACCCATGATATATTACAAAATATTTTATTTTCTTCAACTTCAATTTCAACCAAATATTAACGTTATTCCTGTTAAACATTTCATCTTCTCCATGTTCAAAGTATGTTGGTGTCACTCAAATACCGTATTTAATCCAACCTCCTTTCTTCTTCTAGCAATTGCCACCAGTGTCATCTACCATACTAGATATTGCAAATTCTTGAGATTTCAGAACCAACAATTGATAATTTGTTTCACATTTAAACAAAAACCCATCCACAACAAAGCAACCCATCACAATTTTTCCCCAAAAATATCAAATTTACACAAAAGAATCAATGTGGGTTTTGCGAATAAGGAAATATACCAACAAGAACAAATAATACAAAAGCTATACATCAGATCTAGCAAAAACATATACATACATATATGTGTGCGTGTATGTATATGTGTGTATATATATACATATATATACAAACCCAGAAAATGGGGCTTTCTATAATCTCATCTTAAATTAGAAAGAACCACCATTGCAAATAGCATTAAACCAAACGAAACATATTCAAAAAGCTGAAATTCATATTATATTACCAAAAAAATAAGCAAATCTGAGGAAGATTAAGGATATATGGCATTACATCTTTCCATCTGAAAATATCAGTTCTTCGTGCCCAGATGGACTTCGCGGCCAACATCATATGAATTCAACCTCCTTCTGAGTGAGCTGGCGCGGTGCTACGGCGGTGGTAGCCATCGTCGAGACTTAGATAGAGAGAGCGGGAGATGACCTTGGGAAATAGAGGTGGGTGGCGCCGCCATCGATCTGGGCCTCAGATCGAATCGACCCATCGATGGGTGCTAATTCGATTTTGGGATTTAGGGGTGGGTGGTAATGAGATAGAGCAGGGAGAGAAAAGAAGATCCATGCAAGGAAGGAGTGGAGGATTTGACGTCGAGGTCGTTGATTACGATGAGCAGTGAACAGATGAAGCAGACGAAGGAAAGGCTTAGCAGTCCACTGCATTTTGGGGGGTTTCGCTAAGAACCTCTAACGAGGTCTCTAGTCGAGGCGAATCCCGTTTAATCCCACTAAAACTAGTCCCTGGGATTACCAAACACAGGACTACACTAATTTTTAATGTAGTCCAATCCAGTGAGGGCTAGTGAACCCAAACAAACACACCCTAGGATACTTGGTATTGAAGTCTGAGTTATGAAAAATCAAATTGTAAATGGTGTTGCCTCAACTCAAGTGAGGTTTGTATATCCATATGCATTTCACGTTTAAATTTCTTATGCGAAGGAGGATCCTCTCTAGATCCTCTTTGTGAGGATCCCGAGGATCCTCCAATCATGTCGTTCATCATATATCGTGCGGCCAGTTTTCATCAAGTACTATTTAGATTCAATTTTAAATAAAAAAATTTACAATGATTTATGACTGTACGATGTACGATATAAGTTCTACGTGTATTTTGCACATGATTTTTGGCACACATTTTTAGAAAACCCACATGGGATGACCTAACACCTTTTGCCCGATAATTAGTCTTTCACCATTGATCTTTTCATATGTTTTTGCATTTGACACATGTCTTGCAGTGTATTTGGTTGCTACAAACAAAAATATCTTGGTTAATTTTAATAGGGTTGGAGGATTTCATTTCCTCCTAGGTTAGAAAAATTATATTTTCAATAGTGTTTTAAGCTCCCCAAGCCTCCTCCTTGTGTTCTTCACAAACCCTAGCTCCAACCACCTTTTTCATGCATTAAATCTTGTGCGAACTCTTCTACATCATTTCTGAAAAATTTTGCACTGTTCATAGTTAAACTTATTTTCAAATCTTCATGTAGACCTTAGTTTTGGATTCTGAATTAATTTCTTCTTTTCAACTGTTTGATTGAAGAAACTGACTGGTCAGCATTTGAATTCATAGTTGCATGTCTCTTTCATATCTTCATATTATTTGCATGGTTCATGCTTCGTCTCGATGCCACAAGGTGATGAGCTCAACGGATGAAGTTGCTTTCCTAAAGTCTGAAAAGTACTCCAGCTAGTGTAATATAAGGTTGCACAAAGGTACAAGTTACTCTTTAGAATAGGTCTGAGAATTTAGCTTATTGTGGTTAACTTTATATGAACCGTATTTTACACTAGTGCACTGGACTCCTTGAAGTCCCCAGTTTCTTTTAAATTAGTTAGGGATTTTTCTGGTCAAAACCTATTGTGTACACTTCCCCCTAACTTGCTTGCGTATGTAGTTATTAATTTGCATAATGAACTTATTGAATGTGAATGTGTTCAAGTTTGTGAATTCATGTTGTGAGATATTTATGGGTAAAAGTTGTTAGTTGGACATTCTAGTTAATTAAGTTTATTTCTTGGAATTGTGTTTTCATAGCTGGCAAACTTGTATCTAGTTGACTAGCTCCCCTGATTAGTCTACTGTGAAAAGTTTAATTTTTATTTGCAAGATATTCCACTTGGTACTAATGTCAATATTCCCCATACATTCATACTAATGTCATCACACTTCATTAACATATTAACATACTACATATGGACATGGTATGGTCCAACGAGCTAAAATATGTTATCTAATTTTTTCTTTCACACATTATCTCCACTTTTTGCAAATGCTTGAGAGATCACATTTTGGAAACCACATTTGAACTATGGAACCTACTTGTGTTGTGGACTCTACCTCTATTAGAGGGATAGTTTAGGTTTTTTTCACAAAATATGGTCTCCCTAATATTACCCACTCTGGTTTTTGTGCTAATTAACTATGGAAAATGATAAAGAGGCCATGTTATTAGACCACGTGATATGACAATTGATGATTGGATACATTCTTTAATAATTTAAATAAATAATCCAAACATGAATTGCCACATTTTGTAATCTATAAAATATAATTTAAATATATGATCTCTCTAGCATTACATATTAACTATATAGCATAGTGCAACAACATTGCTTTGAGTAATACAATTAGCAGAAGAACATTGTATTTATGAAAAAAAATTTGTCTGGGCACGCAAAAAAATTCATCATGCATTTATATTTCTCTTTATACGAATTTTACTTTGTGATTATATATTTGAAATGCGTAATGACAGTTTTAAAGTGTTAAACGTTTATATGAACAAAATTTGACTAGGTTAAGAAAGTGGTGTCGTTAGGGGCTTCCCTTTTTCTTCTTTTGATTAACACTGAGACCCAACACAAAAACACTAGACCATAAATAATTTACAGACAATACTTAACCGGCAATATTAGGATCTTATATTTTGAGCAAACTTGGCATTATCAGACAGTAGTGGAGTCATGAATTTATAACGATGGGGTCAAAAAATTACTTTAGAAAATTGAGCATACTTTCATTTATAATTGTCGACGAGGTGTTCTCATATTTTGGCAACGTTGTATCACAAAATCCTTATCAATAGAATCAAATACATTTTTTCAGTGCACACAACCAAACTATCATTCAACCATTCATCACACATCCTATTACGGTGTGGATTCTTCACAACATTCATCACCGAAAAAGCTTTTTCAACGGAAGCAGTTACAACGGGTAAAATCAATGTTAATTTCACTAGCAAGTACACCAAGATATAATGTTTATCCCTCTTTGTCTCCACCAACTTTTGCTCCTAAACTATTGACATCAGTTGACATGATCGCTCAGAAGTTGTTGGCATCTACCAACAAGCTTGCAATATGACTTAGTATATGACCTCAGGCTTACCGAGACTCGATGACCTGCCAATTTGCATGTTATTTCGTCCAAAAAATTTTGGATGCTACGCAAGGTTTTCTTACTGACCTCCTAAATAAAATTTCTTGGATCCGCCATTGGATGTCAATGCCACTGCATTGGCTCCGCTACTATTATTAGATATGGGATATTATATATAAGTGATCAGATCCATATTGTTACTGCGTAAAGTTTACTATATAACATGAATATATATAGTACGTGCATATATACATAGGTCGAGAGAAATCGCAGTGGACAGAGAAAGAAGAAGAAGAATCGATCGGTACCATTAAGTACACAGATGTTTAGTTAACATATTTCCTTAATATTGAGTATTTATATCTTGTACACAGAGATGATCGAGTTTATTTATCGATAACTAATTTAACGGCAGAGTGGTGGGTTCTGTACGCCCTTTGATGTAATCTTGGCGTTGAAACACTCAGATGTAAGCGCCGTGCTTTTCATACTGGTGCCCTGGTAGGAAAAGTTAATGTCGGTCAACTCAACACCCTCGCATGGGTTTGCAGAGCTGCAAGCTAACGAAACGGCTACGTTTCTGGCTGAGGTTCCCCTAATGTTTCTGAAGTGAACGTCGCTGA